GTCCAAAAAGAACAAAGATGGCGTCTCCCGGCTTTGATATGACGGGGCCAAGGCCGAGAAACCTAGCCTTGGACAATAGCAGACTGCGGCCCAGCGTCTGGCTGCAGGCCTGCTTCAAGATATTCACCTCGTCTAGGGGTCTGTCTACAAGGGCCTCTTTCGCTGGCTGCTCAGCCTGGCATGCCGCGCCGACCGTGTTGCCCGACGGGGCGAGGCCAATATGGCGGGACGCGACGGACAACAACTTGGGCGCTGAGGGGTTAGCGGCAGCGCCAGGGCTCGATGGTGACATGGACGGCTCGCTGGGGTTGATCTCCTCGTCTGCATACCGAACCTGATGGCGGATCCAGCCGTTGCTGGTGCTCAATTGCCCGGCTATCAGTGTCTCGTAAACAATCCTCTGCACAGAGCGACGTAGTGCTTCTGGTGTGGCCGAGTCGGGGATTGCTCTGGCAGCCTGTAGCGGTCCGCCCGAGGCCAAGTCGTCGACGATGCGCTCCAAGTCCCAGGTCCATGCCAAGTCTCTGCCGGTCTGAGTTGTGCGTCGCTGCAATGGTTCCTCGGTGTCCTGTACCTTGGCATCCTGCAGAGTGTCGATTTCGTACCCATCGACATGGAGGGTCCGGAAATCGTCCGAGAAGGAAATCGGAGTGGCGGGCGTCCATTTGAATGTGGGAGGAGGTGGCCAGTGCTTGTAAAACCTCCATGTCTCTGGGCCCCGGGCCAGGTTAGCAACCCAGGACGGGTACTCTCCTGGGTCGTCGAGGTGGTCTACGAAGCTTAGAACCTCTAGGTCCTGATGCTCGTCAATGTCGGAGGCCAGAGCGGCGGCGAAAACCTCAGCGACGGGCGCGGAATAGTCGGGTCTCAGCCTCGCTCTGGTGAACTCATTGGTCATTCCCAGCAGAGAGTAGATCTTGTCTCGAAGATCCGCACAGTTTCGACGCCGATGGTCGAGGAGGCGGAGGAAGTCGACAGAACCCTTGACCGCAAAGTCATGCTTGATGTAGAGCATGCTCCATGCTCGGTCCCTGGCGCACGATACGCGGAGAGGGTGAGGATACTGTGTGATGGGCATCTTGCAGTGTGCCAACAGCGAAATACTGAGCGCCAGGACGGGCCATGATATCGTCGTGCTTCCGCAGCGGAACTCGGCTGTCCGGGCAGCGACCAACTCCTGGACGATCCAGGCTCGAGTCCACCAGGGCCGCATGAACAGTTGCGCCACGGCTTCCCAGTCGTCGTTGAAAGCCGGCTCCAGATAATCGCCGAGACCGCGCAGGAAATCTTTTTCCACGTACCGCTGGGGGTCGAGACTCTCTTCCGGAACGATGCCGGCCTGTTCTAGTCGGGCACAGACGTGCTTTAGGAATGTGATGGCTCTGTCGCTCTCGCTGGAAGCCTCCCCTAGCCAGAGAATGACCCTGTCAGCGTTTGCGTAAATGGTTTGCATGTGCCGGACCTGGTCGTTCTTCTCGGGTATATACATCTGATTAATGCAGATGGCGTCTACCCATAGCGTGAGCGTGGCGCTGCTGTCCCTGAGGCCGCGGAGGGCTATCTCCAGATTTCTGGTGATGGTGTGCCTCGCGTTGTTCACCATGATGTCGCTCGTGACGCTTGGGTCGCCCCAAGCATATGAGAGGCCTGCATATTTGCACTGGGACCCCTCGTCCTGGCGCACATGGCGCAGGGTACAGCGTAAAGGATCGTCGCGCTGCCCTGGGTGGACATCCAAGATACGGAATGTATGAGGCACGTCCATGTCGAGGTGGAAATAAACGAAAGTCGAGACATCGAGCGACTCCATTCTGGCCCCAGCGAAGATGTGCTCCACTTATAACCGTCCGCGATTAGTAAGGAGAAACGGTCGACTTTCCAATACATACACACCCGGAGTGGAAGCAGATCAAGATAAAATGAACTTAACCACCAGACGGGCTGACGATTGACGTCCAACAAAGGGAAGCGGGCAGGGTAGATGCTCATCTTTTAAAGGCACAGCGTCAGTGCTTGAATGGATGAGTTATATTTTCGATAAAGCTGAATGAATGGCGCAACCCCGCAGCCTGCATGTGTGATCACTGATTGCTGGCTTACCTTCTTACATTTTGACTGGGCTTCTTAGACTTGACTATGCCTGTCAGTGTCCTTTCTGATCAGGTGACCAGCTGAGACCGGGGCATCTGCAGGATTATAACAAGGCGTGGTTGGAAGCCACACCATTGTAACTTGATGCGTTCTTTTTCCGTGTCAAGTGTTATTGCGTACAGTCTTTCCATGTAGCTCTATACGGCTGACACTTGGGATATTTATAGGTATGTCTTGCTGTGGTTTTGACGCTGATAACTTTATTACCATAATAAAACAACACTTGAAATAGTGCCAAACTACCAAGGCATCTACTGTAAGCCTTTGGGCCAAAGTTCTAAAGGGGAGACATACATGTACACACGGACCGTTGAAGCCGTCTCCCCAGCCTGCCTAAGCTGACATGCACTGCTGACCTACTTGACGATTCTGCTTGAGCTGAAGCCTTGGTGGTTGGCCTGAAGCGATTCGTCCTACATATATGCCACCTGGCACCACTCAGCCGTACTCACCCATGTAGTCAGCTCTTTCCACTCGGGAATTACATTGCCTGAAGCTGCTCTGCACGAGCGATGCTGAATCATTAGCTGCCACTGCCAGTCCAAATCCCACGACTCAATAGATTGTCTTGAAACGCAATGCCCTATTATTTTTGTCTCTGTCCCTGCCACTACTGCTCATCAATAAAACATGCAGTAAACGCTACTCATTTCACTCGGTGTTAGTACGTCCTTAGCATTGCGACCTCGTCTTCGCTTATCTCTTCTCGCATCCCATGCAATCCGACATGCGCCCGACACAACTCAACCACAGGACTTGAAGAAGCCCGAGCTCTGTGTCAAAGTCCATATAGTTCCCGTGGAGGAACAGATGCCCAAGGCTATCCTTAACAGTCCTCATTTTCCACACGGCGGCAGAGAGATCCTACAAGGCCTGCACGGCTGCACGAGACTCGCAGCGGCAGTAAATAACCGCACATGTGTAAGAAAGCATTCAAGAGACCTGGAGTCGCGCAAAGAAGTCTCTTGGAAGAAACGCTTGGATCCTTCGCGCAAGGCTGGGGTCGTTCCATGGGCGTCAAATAGTAAGCGCTCACTAGAGCCCGCCCGGACTTCTTCGTAGGCTTTAGAAAACCACTTGGCGTGTTTTACCCATAGAGGCGAAAGAAGAAACTGCTGACGTGGGCATTTTTAATAACACAGGCGCTATGATAACTTGTCTAAAAGAGATTAAACAAGAGCCGTATAAAAAGCTTTTTTCGTATTTCCGGTATAGTTATCTCGGTATATTTCAAAGGTAGAAAGGTTATACTAAACAATTTATAGTTCCTTTGATATAGAGACAAAATTTCATGGCATGCTTAAATGGCGGCTGGAGCCGAACAAACCAAAACTAGAGTCAACACCAACTTTAGAAGATGCCGAGAATCTGTTTATTATTAAATGGGGAATAACAAGTGCAACCGAGGATGATTATAGTAAGTCTTTATATACTACGCAGTAGTTTATTCTTAATTATGGAGGCCCGAATGCTAGGAAACAATAGATGGCTGACAGGGTCGAAAAGATTCATTAAGATTCAAGATATTTGGAAGGATTTATGCGACAAATATGGCTACCCCAAGGTAACTCAGGAAGTAAAACAGAAAGACGAGAAAAGAGCTTAATTGCTCAATGCTGATTTTTATTCCTCTAAATGTCAAAGGCTTTTAACATGGCCACCAGCGTTTTTAGCATATGCGCTCCCTTACGGGTTATGATCAGAATAAGACGAAATGAGGCCTATGCGAGCTACTTATCTAATATATATGCACCCCTGACATGATTTAGGGGAACGCAAACTCTACCACGAGTTATAATCTAGACGTCACAACTGCAAGTGGCCTAGCAACCTGCTCCACGGTTAGAACTTGATAAAAGCTTAACTTTATTACACGAAGCAATCACGGGCCAGTCAACAGCCTCAGATATTATTTTTCCTTTCATGTATACAATATAATTCTTACCCTTCTCGCATTCAGGAAAAACCTAGAACCTTTTAATGTTCTTTGAGACTATCTTTGAATCGAGTTATTACCACTCCAAGCCCCAGTATCAAGCTCATGTCACACAACCCCTGCTATTTTACAGGGAGTTCTCGATGTCACGCTGTTCGGAGTAATGCGAGTCATCCCGTCTCTGCTGAACATCTTGTTGCAGAACCTCAAGACACCAGACCCTAAAAGCAATACTAATCTGTAGAGGCACCCGCCCCAACTTGGCTCACTTTGTCTACATGCTCAGAGACCCTAACAGCGACGAGCTCGCCTTCAACTTTGGAGTCATTCTGGCTGTGTACGCCGCCTGGTATTACTGGCACCCTGATGCTATTTATTTGCACACAGATGCCCCAGACCCAGCCATCAGTCGAGGGCGAGATGGACTATGTGGAAAATGCAGCAAACTTATCTTGAGTATGCCGCGCCTTCAAGTAATGCGCGCCGCATCTCCGACGAGCGCTGGCAATAGGAAAGACGTAAAAATCATGGAGCACAAAATCAGACTTTGTCCGAGTCCAAGCAATTCGAGAGTTGGGTTGTACCAATATTGACTTTGATGTACATGCCCTACGAGACATGAAGGTGCGTCGTGAAAGCGGCTTCGGCGCTATTGCCGGGAGGGAGCATGCGGAACAAGTAATTTCTGGTACCTGTATGTCGAGAAAGGGTCAACCTCTTTGCGGACGAGCAATTAGTTACCAGACATGCCCTAGTGCTTACATGTCAATATATTATCTGACACAGGGCCATGGGGTACATAGCCACTGCATCATTCTGTCACCCAACGTCCAACACTCAAGTTGGACACACGCGCGCTCGCAACGCTTGTCATATCTACGGGTTCATAGACGCACAAAACGCGCAAGGAATCATGGCGCCCGTCTTCACGCCGCACTGGAAGAAAGACTCCGGCCCGTTGAGCCCGACGAATTGGATATTCTACGCCGTGAGCGAGATTCACGGCCACTACCATCCTCTCTCGGTCTGGTGCGAAGAAAATCCCAGCGAGCTACACGCCGGACGACAGGACGACTCGTGGCGTGGTCGTGGTCTTATTTCTTCCTACCTTCGCACCGTCTCCATTTTCTCGAATCCGAATCACCGGCGCGCGATTCAGAATGAGCTAAACATGGCCAAGTCATTCTATCAAAATCCAGAACATCTTCTTCAACCCACCTTCCAGTTGCCTCATCCGTCGAAAAGCCATCCGACGTCGACACAAGATGACCATGTTAGTGTCCAGGAGAGCAGAGATGACTCAGCACTATCCTTTCCCCTTTATATCAACGTGTCTTCTTCTTGGAGCTAGCAGCTATCTGCCTAGTTATCGCTACAACTTCTTTGCCAGTGGCAAGCAATGCCGCCAAGTCTGGCATATTTTGACCAAGAACTTCCCTATGGCATGGTCGTCATAGACATTACCGATCAGACTCGTGTAGGTTATGGCATTGTTGCCTTTGCCTCCTACGACATGTTGTGGTTAGAGAACGACCCAGAGCTGGATTGGGATGCTTGAGGGCCTGACTTTGGGCCGCAGAAGATGGAGCTTGAGGACGATAGACAGCGAGTGGCCCTCTCGGGTTCCGACTACATCATCAGGTTCGGGTACGAAGAGGCTGAAAACATGCAAAGATTCTACGTGACTTGTCCCGAACTACAACTTCTTGAAAAGGTGCCCGTGGTTGATGCATGTGTTTTCAATGGTACGCGCTCCATCTTCGCCTTCCTTTACATAACTACAACAAGCTCATTTGGCAGTAATCTGGCCAATTACACCCCGGACATTACATTCCGTGTTACCGATATATGGCCCTTCCGCGACCGAGGTGGACGGATCAATTGTCCATCTAGTAGAATCCGCCTTGAGGAGAGACGAAGTCGATGTGTCCCAATTCAGCCCCATTCGCAATCTTGACCATTTTCAAGAGACCCTTCGCTCAATACTACCGGAGATGCTGAGGCATTCCAGTGCATCGGGCGTGCTTGGCCAGCTACTTGGCCTCGCCTTTGATGGCTGCGAACACTTGGACATGGTCGACTTCAAGAGCTTATCAGCCGAGGCTGTTGACGCAGCCCTCTCAACCAAGGAACTGAGCGGGGTCAAGGAGATCAGTCTTTCTGCCGAGATGCTCAATGAAACTGGTACTAGTAACAGCACACCTACTGATCTCGCAGATACGGCGCAATGCTCGAATATTGAGAATATCTACGTCATGTGCGAGCCAGAACTGGGGCGGGACCGCAGACTTGCTAAACAACGACAAAGCGTTGATTATTTAGCCAAGTTACTGAGCAAGATGGAGGAGATTTCAGGCTCAGTCTTCCTATCTGCAATGTATTCGGCCGCTATATGCAAGACATTATGGTTTCCAGAGCACTATCAACCGTCGTACAACCGCCTAACGTCTTTTACCGCACACAGCTCAATTCCACGACCCGGCAACATATGGCTTTGGGCATTTTAGGATGGACCACATGCTTCTTGGCCCAGAGTCCTTTGTGGCCAGATTTCTGAGCTGGCTGCGTCATCCTGACTTCCACATGGCCGGCATGGCATGTGGACCAGACACGCTGGCCGACTCGTCTCAACTCGACGTCCGTCCTCTGCCCATTGGTGGTTGTGCTCACCAACAACGCTTTCTAGAGGCAGCAGATATAATACTTGCCAGAGGTTGGACTGTCCTTGTATCCAAGCGCACCTTGACAAACTACCTGGTTGCCGAGACAATATGTACGGAAGCCGTGAAAACTTCCCCGAGGATTGTCAGTGGATGGAGTATGAATTTGTGCGATCGGGTAGTGACGTCCAAGACGGAAAGCTGCAGGTAGTAGGAGTAAGAGAATTCTTGGAGATTATGGCCGCAGAGGTGGATTTGGACCTTGTAGAAAGGGAGTTGGTGCAAACGGCGTCCTGGATAGAGACATGGGAGGAGCAGGCAACGTTATTGCCGGGTATGGAGGCTTTAAGGTTGCTAGACGTGGATGATGAGCAAGACAATCTTTTCCGTGCATTTCTACGTAGCACCGTAGTAACAGACACCAGGGACTGCCCGGAGACGGATTCCTGACTTTGACGACCGACACTTTGGGCCAAAAAGCGGCCTTTAAACGAGGCAGCAATGGGAATAGCGTTGCGAAACCAACTTTGAGCAGTGGTTGTCAAGGGTGTCACTGTGAAGAACAGCCGGCTATCAGACATGGGAAGGCTGACCGGCTTGTAAATACATGGGTCAGACGAGAGGTCAGAATGGCAAAGAGAGGTGACGATTCGGAGTGCTGATCAAGGTACTTCAGTCATGTGAATATTTCGAATAAAGTAATACGTTATGCGTTCCTGAATACTTAGTCACGGTTAACTTAAAGAGCACCCATTTTCTATACATTTTTGCGTTTAGTCCCATGCACACGCCAGATGGCTGGAATATGTTAACTTGGCGGTTGGTCTCCGCAGCGTCGCTGTATGCCGCGTGTCTGACCCAGAAACTCAAAACATCTATTTGCTAATAATATCCATAGCATCTACCTTGAAATAAATATGTATTTACTCTTATATTCCTGGCTCGTTGCTGGCTCAGGGCCCTAGAGTGAGTAGCCGCTCGGTCGGGCGCGACACCCTTGGCCCCGATTAGATGTACTAGATTCTTAATAATGCCTATCTAGAAACGACCGTTGACACGTGGGCCTACTCTATAGTTGAATATAGTAGCTGGACCCTTTAAGAAATTAAAAGAAGGATTTTTTGTGTTTTAAGTATATATTCAACTTGAAAGATAAGAAAAGCTACAAGTAAATATAAAGTGTTTTTTGTTAGTAGCTAGTATTACAAAGAAGGTAATAGTAAGACAGCTACTATTCTATTAATTTTCGGTTATTTCGCTCTGTAGTCAAATAAAATTACAGGCATGATACAAGTATCGTGCAAGCGTAAAATCTAAAATAGTATTGGGCTGTACTAGGCCAAGGACAGTAAAAGACTAGAAAAGTAGACCGTCTACGCATCGTGACGCGTCAGACGTACCAGCTACTATTCTATCACCTCTAGTAAAGCAGTTCAAAGGGACATGTGCATGAAGCTGCGTTAATCGGTTCAACTCTCCACAGTGTATAGCATATTGTCGTTTCTCATAAGCTTACAAAACTTCGGCCTGACCCTTATGCCCTACATCTCTGATGGTAGCCCTCGCGTCACCGCGTGACAATCAAAGGCGATGAAATGCTTCAGCGAAGCACGCAGCGGTACAAAGACTGCGGTTGCCCCAAATAAGCGACTCCATCGCGACAGCATGTTCACGTACATTCATGGGGTCTTGCCACCATGCACATATGCCGCAATACTCTACAACAGCCCTTGTGCTGTGCCCCTTGTCCCTCTTTCATTGACCATGACGACCGATGCCTGGACTGCTTTGGCCAGTTCTGTTCGCGGGTACATGGGCCTGCTCTTTGCACACACAGCCACATTTACAAGACTAGCCGTGAGGCGCCAGACATCAAGATGCATCAATATCGGCGCGTGATTGTATCCGCAACTCGCAGCGTCATTTGGCCCAAGGTCGGGAAACGTGAGCTCCGCATCGCCGAAATCGTAGCCTCTGTCGCCGGATGTTTCTGGCGTGCTATTGGGAACGCTGATTTCAACATGGTCGACGTTTATCATTCGTGCCCCGAGTGCCTGAAGTCGTGACTGAACATCCACGGCTGTCAGGTAGTCTCCGGCGTCGTCCTGATCAGTGCAAGATATGCCTGCCGCAAGATACAGTCGATGCCCCTCGGGTCCCAGAATCGCCTGCAACCTAGTGATGATTTGGTCTCGCGTGTACGAGCGCAGCGCCACTTGAAAAATACGCTCAATGTCCCCGTCTGGCACCGGACGCTGACCCTTAAGAGCGAGGCACGCTTGAGAAACCGTTTCCTTGATGAGATGCAGACAGAACGACCCCAGTGGTTGCCGCTGCACATGATGCGAAAACTCGTCGTCAAGGCTGTCTGTGTCGGCCTTGTCCTGGTCCGTCGTGGGGAATTCGAGTTGCCATGAGGGGTGTAAGCATCGGCTCACTTGTGCAGCGCCGTGGGTAGAAGACGACGTCATCGTGTTGTCGAGTTGAAACTTGCGCCCTTGTTCGTGGCTTGCAAAGTCGGCATAAGGAAGTATCCCGATAGTAGATGCGAATTGAGCTGCCTGCATATCGATGGGTGGTTCAACAAGAGCAGAATGTCTTCCTTGTGTAGGCATTGCTGCTGGCGGTGTCGCTGCATCGTCTGCCGCGTGTAGAGTCTTGGTGAGGGTGAGAAGACGAGCCACCGAATGGTGGATGGATGTACCGAGCTCGGGATAGTGACGCAAGATACCTTCTTTACCGAGCAGCTCGTCTACAAAGTCGATGAAAACGTTGCTAGATTCCTGCACAATGCCCTCCAATGTCTGTATTCTGTGCCGTTCCGCAGCTTCCGCGACCTGTTTTCTTTGCCGAAACAGGCTCTGCGCTTGACGATTTCGATTTCGCTTGGTCTGCATCGTTGTGAGCACATTGAAAATGGAACCCGGTAAAGTACGTTGACATCCGGAGAGGCTAGTTCTGAGTGATGGGAGGCAACCGCCCCCAATACTGGCTTTTCGCAAGACTGAAACCGCTGCTTACCTGAAGTGCTTTCTCTCTATTTTGCTTCTCAGAGGTCGATTTCTCCCGGCGCGTCTTTCCCGTCTTCATAATGGCAGATTTCCCAGCTTGCAGGTGATGGCACAAGGGGATATGGATATATGCATGTAGAGTTGGGCAGGTTTTGGCGCTGTTGGGGAAGTCAGTAGTATTGACGCGTAGGGTCTCGGACTGAGTCATCAATATTACAAAGGAAATGAGGGGCAGTTTCAAAGTTCAGTCTGTTTCCCTCGGACAGTCCAGTCTTTGTTCCGCGGACTAAACTAACGCAGTTACCCTTGTCGACTTCAACTTGTAAAGGTCGAGTTTAAACATGCAACCGGGCAACGATCAGGGGGAACTACCAGTAGCCCCGCGCGTTGGAAAAGAATTCTTTTTACAAATATCTCATCTACAAGAGTGAACATGTCACACAAGACGATTGTTCGGACAGCCAGAGAAAGTGAGGCTCTCCCTTTCCTACGCCAAAGAGTGGAATCTTGCAAAAACTGAATACTTGTACTACTATCTGTTTAGCTGCCAGCGGCACATCAATTTCTGCCCCAAAGGCAACTTGATCCTAGTATTTAATTAAAGCCGAGACTCCTCTAGCGCCTTGAACGCTCCGAGGGAACTCAAAACAGGTACCATCGGGTTGAACCTGTCAGGGTACAGCTTCAACATGGCGTCGCGAACCTCTGTCCAGTCCCGGGGCGACTTGTCCATCACGTCTCCAAAATCGACCAAATACTTCTTGGTAGCAGCCAAGTGCCATACACCATCCATTTCCTCCGCCTGCTTGTGCCCGGCAACGACATAGGCAGGGTTTAATGCTTCCACCATCTCAATGGCCCGAATCCACTCGTCCCTCTTCGACTTTGTGTTGGCTTCGAAAAGCATCTGGTGCACCTGTCCGTAGACAACGTCGCCACACACGGCGAGCTTCAGATCCGGAACCCAAAGAATGGTAGAATCGTACGTGTCGGATTGTCCCACCTCAATGGCCTGGAAGCGCCAGCGGTCTTGCAGGAAAAACTCGTTGCTCGCCGGCAGCGGGTCGGTGAGCCTGTCGGGTTTGCGCAGCTGGCCTGGGAAAAAGGCCTCCCATGTGTCTGTCCATCTCGGCTCTGCGATGTCCTTTTCCATGTGGCGGAGAGTCGCCGCTGTAGATACGGGCTTTGCCTCTGGAAAGCGCTTGAGGAGCTGGGGGATGCCGATGAAGTGGTCGGCGTGGCCGTGGGTAATGTAAATGTATTCGAGCCTTCGTCCCGGCGCAATCTTGTCGATCCATGCAATTAGGTCCTCTGTCAGGGCATTTGTGTATGGTGTGTCCACAAGCACGGCCGCCTCGTCCGAGTACACCAACGTGCATGATGTTGGCGACCACGTGTGTCCTTTGGTTTTGGTAAAGATGTCGACAATAGGAATCGGCGGCGCGACGTATACGGCGCACCTTAGAATCGACATGATGAGTTGCTGAGGTTGATGCTGCTGAGTAAACGGTCTTTGAATGGCAGTAGATTCACGAAATGATGAAAACCGTGGAAAGAAAAGCCATATTTCGGGGCGTGTGATAGCAATGCCTATTTAAATAAAGAGGCGCAAAAGGTCTCGAGCGCCTAAAAGATGACAAAGTAGGAGCGTATTAGATTTGCCAGGAACCACTACGAACGTGACGTCGAATATCCATGGGCTCGATGAGGCGCAACGCGGTCTTGATCGCCTAAACGATGACACAGTAGGAGCTATTAGATTTGTCAGAGACAACTCCGAACGTGACGTTGTGTAATCATGGGCTCGGAGAAGCAGAGTGACGGTAAAAGTCCACCTGAGTCAGCTTTCATCGCCAACGGACTTTATGGGGCTTTGGTAAGATCGGCAAAATTAAGTAATTCAACATTGAAAGCAACAGTTGTCAAGCCTGCTAAGAAAGGGCCACGTCGCATTCGGACGTGATGAGCAGGGTCGCCACTGGCTTTCCGTTTTTTTTGTACAAACATTAATGATTATACTATCATGGCAGTTAGCCTCAACCGAGGTAGGTGGGTAGCCAAGATCCATTGGCTCCATGTCATTCAAAAGTGGGCTATAACTCAGAAAATGAACGCGGGCCGAATTATGTCATTTATCCCGATTGACAGCACAATAATCCAAGTCAGATCTCCATCCACGTGCACAATACATACTACATTGGCGCTCCAGCCACGGAAACTGATGACAAACGGCCTTTGCACACTCTCGTACCGACTGTTCTGCTGCGAATCTTGTCGTCTGCAGGTTGCCATGACATCCGTGGCCGAGTCGAAATCGCAGCCTGCCGATTTGTAATGACCGCAATGTCAACTTTGCCCGCCTCGGTACTGTACTGCAATTGAATATATATTTGCATAATAGTCTATCCTTTGAGGTTTCTATAAGAAATATTAAATCACTGAAACAGTCTTCCCTGCTACAAAATACCTTCAAAAAAAGATTGTTTAACAAGAAAGATGCCTTATTGGAACATCTATCACCCCGACGACGTCCTCCGCGACGACGCCGAGAAAGACGCCATTGCAAAGGCTATTACTGAGATTTATACCGCTATTCCACTTCCAGCATTCTACGTCGGCGTCTTTTTTTTCCCCATGCCTCGCAATGAAATATACCGAGGTGGTCAACCGCAGGCAAGTGTACGCTTTGTAATACACAACATGCACCACTACTAACCTTGTCAAACAGTCGTCTGCACAAGAACCGACCTTTATTCACGTTAGGTTCACTCACATTGCGCGGCAGTTCCCACCAGGTGAAAGCGAGAAAAAGGACAAATTTCTCGACAGGGTTACTGAAATATTGAAACCCTTCACCATAGACAAGGGCTGGTATTTGGAGCTCACTGGTGAAGAAGGCGATCGCAGCCTACTCAGAGTTCAAGGAATGAGGATGCCGTCCCCGGGATCGGAAGATGAGAAGAAGTGGGTGGCGGAGAATGCTGCGGTTCCATATGGGCCCTATCTTAGTCGAATGTGATGAAGCCAACATGAAGGGCTCATCAACCCTAGCACAGTATCTTACTCCGGGGGTAGATAGCGCAACAGTACTCTAGCTTATGCACTTAAACAGTCACCAGTCGTCTAGTTATCGAATATATCATGTTGCGTGACGGCCGTTGTATCTGCCGCAGTTGAGCGTAGTGTTACGAGTCAAGCCGCTGGAACCCAACTCCCAGCGGATTGATTCTAGCATCTTTCTGAAGGTGTACGGGAAGAATGCAAGGCGTTTCTATTGTGTGACGGAGTACGGAGCATGTAGACTTTGTTTTCAGGGTTATCCTGGTAATAAGAAGCTTAGGGACTGGGTATTTCAGTCATCACATGTTTCCTTTCTACGAATTTCTCATAACAAGGAACAAATTGTAATCTTGGGTTGATTTTATTAAAACAACCGCTTTATTTCCAAGTTTACCGCATCTCGGCCATATCAACTCTGTACTTTTTAAAATAATCCAATCAAGGAGCGTCAAGAACGATAAAGGGGGACATGCCACTGCCCACATGTTAGGTGTTCAAAACCAATGTACACGTACGCCTCTTCAGCCATCAATTCCAACGTCTTCTTTATACCGATCCAAATCGACAGGACAGGGGATACGCGTTACCAGTGTAATCGTTCTTGCGATTCTCAAACGTCTCGCTCGGCGTCTTCATAGTCAGGTTAAACGCCGACGGGCCCTGCCAGTCTCCCATGACGCTACGCAGGGGATAGTACGCATCCTTGACCAAATCCAGATCTGCGCACTTGATGCCATTGATGTAGTTCCCTCCAGTGGACACCACAAGCGGCTTCACATTCGTGTCGACTTTGCCGTCCAGGCAGCTGAAGGCGTTGCCGTGTCCAAAGAAGACGTCGTTCTCGTTGTCAGCAGTGGTGCAGAGAGTGTACTTGCCGGTTTCGGGGGCACGGTAGAAGCCGCTGTACACGAGGGTGAAGTTGTTGGCGTCGACTACGATGCCGCCATTGGTCTGCTTCGTCCAGCCGACTGCGTACCAAACACCGGGGAGGTCGGGGCGTGGATAGACCTTGGGGAGATTGGCCGGGGGGCCAAAGTCCTGAGGGAAGAAAGTGACGTTTGTGATTGAAGACTTGAGAGGCTTCAGGTTCTGCGTGATGTAGTAGGACCACGGGAGGGAGTTCTCTCGACTGTACCCAGCGAAGGGGTTGGCGTAGTAGTCGATGTCGAAACCCTCCGGGCGGCAACGGGGTTTAATGATTGGACAGGGCCCACCGGGAGTTGGTTCCGGGGTCTTGGTTGTGGTCGTGGTTGTGGTAACTGGTTTCTTTGTTGTGGTTGTGGTGACTGGTTTCTTGGTCGTGGTTCTAATGGTTGTGGTTTGTGTTGTCGTGTGCTGAGATGTTGAAGTGGGAGGCGGCTTACGGGTCGTGGTTTGCGTCGGGCTGCACGTCTCGGTGATTAAAGGAGTCTGTATGACTAGAGTCGCGAGGCCGGTGCCGCAAGGAACAACAGTGGTGGATGTCGTGGTACTTCCGATATAAGGAATGGTAATAGTTGTATGACAGGGTGGAGGGTTCAAGTGGTCCCCTCCATCAACGCCAATGATGGGATCATGGTCCAAATCAACAGCACTTGCACATTTCAAAGAAAGAGCAAAGATGAATGCCGCTTTGGAGAGCTGAAATACAGTAGCCATTGCAGCCAATGTTGATATAAAGCGCACAGAAAATCTTGTTAGGGTTTCGATCCCGGCTTGAACGAATTCTTTAGTACCATGGCGAGAAGACACTCTGCTTGCTTTATATATCAGTTTTAGGACAAAGCCAGACACGAGATTCGATATGATTGTGTTGTTTACATGCATTCCGTACAGCAGGGGGCTAAAAGCATTCAAGAAAATGAAGTACCAGTCTATCGTGTTCTACATCTATAATATACTACAGCATATTAGTCTGTACTTGCCAGGGAAATGCATTCGCTGTATGTCTTGCGCATTGACACAAGGTCTGTCAAGTTCCGTCTACTCCGTACTCCGTGCCGAGCAGTTGCTTGAATATTGGAAAATTTCCCAGGGGAGCAAAATATCGTCACCGTCGCCACAACTGTAAATCGAGGCTGCAAGTCACGTCTTCCCACGGCGATTGTATGCAAGTATCTGTATCGGGAAGGCAATAAACCAAAGAAACTGAAGCTGAAATTCCCGTTTGAGGGCGCAATGCTGACAGCGGATGTGATCTGCACATATAAGCAGAAATCCACACCGCAATGAGAAATTTGCATCACTCACCGAGGCTGACACCGAGCGCATGCACCTTCTCAATGGTTGAACAGCCCGCTGAAGTCAGACATGCAGAGTCTGCCTGGGGTTCTGGACCGCCGCAGCGTGGACGTGGCTTATTCGACGGTCTGATGTGATAATCACAATGTCTCAATAAAGAGTCGTTCAGCATGAATTACTCTACTCCGTACGGAGTAGAGGATAAACGAATCCGGTTCAATTACGTACATAGGTCCGATTGTTCTCCTTATTCATGGCAATGCGGCAAGCCACGCCGCGATGTGCCAGGTCGCCCAATCCCGGTGTGGTGAATAGACTGCGGACTGTGCTCGAGTCATAGCACATAACACATGTATGGCTACAGCAACGGAAGACACCGGATTGCGAGGCCAGAGCGTAGTGATAATCAGGTCCAAGCTTTGCCCTGCAAATCGTCGGAACCGACAAGTCAATGGCCCGTCTGGGTGACATGGTGGTCAGCACGGCGTGTAATGGCGAGACCAGTCGTTTCTGTACAACCTCAGCTGGCAAGAATCAAGCCTTTTCACACACCTGAGTTTTCCAATCAACCGACCACCCATAGCTACAGAGACTGCGTCCAATGAGCCCGCTCGTATCAGCCGCATCCATGTCACGGGTCGCACGCTCATTCACTACTGACCAGTCCAGGTGTCGTGGTGTTGTTGCCTCGAGGAAGGCGGCATTGTGGCCTGAGATGTCGTTCCTAATACGGAGTACTTAACAAATGGCTGCAGATAATGCATGTGCAGAATGTTCCATTCGATAGCAATGCTCCGCTGCGTCATGCACTCTCTTCTACTCAACTACTCCTCAGACTCGAGTACTCAAACAAATTGCTGCTTGGCTTTGTTGATCTTCTACGCCTTAATCCCGAGGATGAAGGCAAGGAATGCTGTATCAAGACGAACATGGTTAATTCTCACCGTTTTTATACGTGAGGGTATAAAATATCGCATCTACCAGGTGGAGATTTTGGGGCAGCAAAATAGCGAAGATCTGCCTCGTGTGTCAGTTCCGCTAAACAACGAAGGTGAGAATCGCCCTGTGAGCGGGCAGATTTATCAATTGATACCTATTCAGATTGCATTGCTTACATCCACGTTGAAGGACAGTTATTCCAAGATGGAATCCCTCCCGTTGAAGCTGCGACAAACGCAGGGTTGCTGGGCATGGAGCGTTGTGTTCAAAATTCAATTCAATAAGCAACTTGGAGATATCAAAGGTCCTTGGTTATCGCTCCGAAGTTTTGAGAGATGTCGCATGATGGACCCGGTCGGGTCGCAAAAACAGCCTCGCGATCACACTGGGTAGTGTTGCAATGCGACTTGTCAGGCAAGTTGCAGAGTCCCATGCAGTGTTGGCAATACACACAAGGACACGATTGACGCGAGAAAGATATATCTTCAACTGAGACATGCCGGGCAATGGCACTCAATTTGCATAGAGGCCTGGACTTGCACATTGGGTATCAATAGGCACACTCGACCCGAATGCCGTGAGCTCACATTCACCCTCTACATAAGATGAGGTTCCCTCCTGAATATTCGATGCTGCTGTCCACAACATAATCCATGCGCACATTTGAGGCCATAAATTCCCAACATGTCACTCTGCCGCGAATGCTGCGACCGCGTCACCCGGAGCCAAACAGACAGTGATCTTTGCTACCAATGTTGCGTGGCGCTGCAACATCTCGCCCAAGCGTCGGGCCACGAAGCAACGGTCCAGGAGATACGGCGGCATGTGCAGCTATGGATGGACATCATATTGACCGTTGAGGCAGCTGAGGCGGTTTACCGAGCTGCCAACAAGTAGAATGGGGGTTCCTTGTTTGTGTAAGTACATTAACATCACTCCCTACTATATCAACGTACCGTTAACAAGCACTGGAATTTGGGGTATTTGGTTTTGGCCCGCTATGGCCAGAGAGGACCAGAGTAGAGAGGAACTTGTCGATCTGATAGCTATTGTAGGAAGTCAATACAAGTAGCCTCTCCATCATCGTACTGTAAGCAGTCATGTTTGGCTGTCGGTCTCGTCCACTGCGTGATGTCGTCTTTTTAATGGGAGAGGGTTAGGGTTGGGGTTACATGCGAGCGAGCCGACTCGGCGACCTATATTATAAGGATTAATTATAAGAGAAAAATTATTATAAAAGCCCCAAGGCGAGCATCCCAACCTGTCATTACTTTTGCTGCAAAGTCAATCGTTGCCAATTGGCTGCCGTTTTCGACCGCCTGCCTGCGTCTCCACCCCTCTTTCGGCCGCCCGCTGCTTTGGAGATTTGACCACGACTCAACGCAAACCTACACAACCTCCCCTTGTCCCTCTCGCTCCGTCGAATTCATGTTCCGCTTCTGCTTCTTGCATATACAATCGAAGGGTAGAACGACCACTAAATACCGTTGGCGACTTTCCACCGACCCCCGAACAAGACGATCAAGAACGATCCCAATTCATTTCCGCAATTTCTCTGGAAAGAGTCTCGGCCTTGGCCTTGCGATATAGCACACAGGATCACTGCCGCGTTATCAAATGTGACAGTGGGAGCTTCAATGTCAACTTCATTGTTGAATTCAAAGATGAAACAAAATGTGTTGTCCGAATTCCCATACTACCGTTCGTTTATGATCCCTGGAGCAGAGTTCTCAATCATGTTGCCGTCTCGAAATACTTGAAAGAGACGACGCAAATCCCTGTGGCTCGTGTCCGCGCATTCGGCCGCAACGAGCGGCTTTCCAACAATGGCAATAACGAATATCTTTTTCTAATATTAGATTTTATCCCCGGCCAGAGCCTTACAAATCGGCTCCTATTCGAGTCAACCGTTGAGAGGCGAGCCAACTTCTTTTCTCAATTGATCGAGATTTTGGTCGAGTTGCGGCACACGAGTTTTCCAGCGCTGGGGTCGCTGATGCCCGGAACAGACACCGGGCTTCCGGTAGTTGGTGATTTACAATCGATACCCTTGAATGAGCTCCGTCGTAGCGTCCCTCCAACAACATCAGTGCGAGAGTACATGGAAAGCCAACTCCAGATAGTCTCTGACACGCTAGCAGTCCCAGTTGCGGACCAGGCTATTGACGATATGAAACTTGAGGCCTTTGCAGTCCATTTTATGGAGAGAGATCTAATCGACGCTGGTCCTGATAATGAAGAGAACGGGTACCCTCTGTGTCACTCAGATTTGCGGCTTGCCAACATCATCGTCAATGACGAACTGCAAATCAATGGTATAATCGACTGGGATGATGCGAGCACAGTTCCCAAGCAATTATTTTCTCCCCCACCGTGGATTTCAGGTGTAGACGATCAGAGTATCATGGAATTCCAATTACTGCATGCCGAGTTCCGCGGCATTCTTGTGGCGAAATCGAAAACCAACTCCATCTGTGGTGAAATGTTCAAACAGTGGTATGGAGGGACAAAAGGAGAGCCCAACAAAGCTTTGTATGTTGCTCACATCATCCGATACCCTACCGAGCTTGCCGAGGTCGTTGCCCGTCTTCACAAACGACTGGGTTTGATAGGAAAATTACGCACCGACATCCATGCATATTACAAATCAAGTATTGCGGTTCAAGAAGAAGTGCAAAAACGTGCAGCTCTATGTGACGAATACACAAGCTACCTCAAGAATCGCGGGCTATACAAAGAAGATCGACCGTTGGATCTAAAAGAGTTGAAAGCAAATCTTGAAAGGGTTAAGGAGATGCTTCAGTCCCAAGGTTTGTAGATTCAACTGCCTTTCTTCAAGTAAGCTCAGCCTTTACCATTAGTACTTTTGACTAGCTAGCGTATGATTTTGATGGGACTGAGATAAACGTTATTTTGCGGCTATCGAAACCATCATAGTAGCGCGTGGAGTCCAGGCTGCCTTGACAAAGCTCACCAACAACTTGCGTGGCTCAGAGCTGCCCTTCGTCAGTCTATGATACCGTGTAGATTGTGTCTCTCGACTGTCACAGCCACAGATGGTGGCCACATCGGCCCCAGCAGTCAACTGCCATCTATCACAGTCCATCTCAATTTTACGGTCACCCCCATTGTAAATTATATTTCGTTAATTGGACCTTGTTGGCACGCCATGTTCAGCAATCCTGCAGTTGTCGATAGCTTCCCGATACTTGTGCTATACGAGAACGAGTAAGGGCGACAACTACCATTTGATATAATACGTGCTCTGATAGAATCACGCTTTGCCACGTTCAATAACGAAACACTAGTTGTGAAGGGCCTCTTAACATACGAGCCCGCAATGACACCTTGCCGTACCGATGAAACTTTACAATACATGTCTGGGCTCGTTCTTCTCAGTCTTATTTCATCTCTCTTTTTTCAGACAGACATATCTTCTCTGTCTTTGTTGCTTTCCGTCTACCTCTATTACGAAATACTTGACCTTCTGTCTATCCCGAAGCTGTTCTATTTATCCATCTCGCTACTTTTACCAAACGCTTCCTAGAGCGTGTCGTATACTCATATTTCTGTTCTATATCTTCCCACATTATTATTACTTGGCTTCTGGGTCCGACGCCGCGTCAGCAGCGATTTTGCTATCGTCTGCTTTATCCGCCTCTTCGTCTTTATCTTCAGTGTTATCCCTTGTCTCGGCCGAATCTGCAGTGCTTTTAGTGTCTTTCTTTTCTAGTTAGGCATCGGATAGATTGGCTGGCCGTCCGGTCTTGACTTGCTTGGCCTTGATAATTGTGGTCAGATATTCTACAGTATCACCAAAACCATCCAATTTGCCGAGGTTGGATTCAAAGAACTCGATGTCATGTAGCATGCTATATCAAGTCAGCACCTGTCGTAGGCCGATTGGGGCTCATATAGACGTACCTCTCCCGACCTAATTCCGTCTTGAGATCTACCTCCTGGAACGCTTTGCCGAACTGATCCCTATAACTGATAAATACTGGAGTCATGATCATACCAATAGCTGCATCTGGAAGGGTCTTCGTCAGGATTCTGTGCAACGAGGTCGTGTCTTTTGTCAATGTTGCCATGTAGGAATGCACATTCTTTTGGTCATTGTCCCAGTCGATACGTATGATCGCCCTTACATGTGAGGCAGCCAAGCGGGTCATGATTTCGACTATCTTGTCATAAATGCTGTTCTGGTGATCTTGATAGAGACGTTTGACCTTATCAAATTCGACTAGGCTTGAGGCAGCAGCACCAGTTCCAGCGTGGCGCCTGACAAACTCGCGAATGTAGCTGATCAAGGTTGCAACGAACGCCAATGCTTGCGATGCCAGAACTAGATGCTTTGATGTAATGTTCTTTAAGCCTGCGGATTGCCTAGCCCCTGCGCCTAAGATAAGTTGTGTGCACCGCGAGTTGAAAAGCTGGAGATAGGAGACCAATGAAGCCCCGATGTCTGAAGTCATTGATGGGATACCAGCTATTAGTTGTAAGAAGCGGGCCACACCATTCATGCAAAGAATTGCGGAGCTAGGAAGTACGAATGTTTCCTCGTCAATGGAGGCATTCATAGTCTTGGCTTTGCCATCGCTATTGGCGTGCGGATCACCAGCGTAATGAGACTCAGGGTCGTCATCTGAATACGGAATCCAAAGTTTCATGCCATCTGACCATTCAGCCGGATCTTTTATACTACAAGATAGAATCCTGTTAAGTTCGGCGGTTTGTTTCTCTGAAAAGTCCTTCGCCTCCCATTTATCAGATTCCATGCCCTGGGCAAGCTTTTGCTTTTCTGTATCGCCATGCTTCTGTATAAAGTCTTGAATTTGCCCATTGATAATTGTCTTTAGGGTCGTACCGCTTTGCCCAGAGATTGATTCACACTCGTTGGCGAAGTAGAGATTCAGAGCAAAATACCGGAGGAACCGGATTAGTGATAGGTGCGTACTCTGCTCTGAACGAACCCTGAGGAGCTTCACAATCTTATCCTGTGCAACGTCCACAGCTTGACCGAGGAGACTTTGTAGGTCTATGGCTTTGTGCATTTCTTGTGCCTCGAGTGCGGCAATGAAAAGCCTCCCGCTGGCAGGAGTAGTGAGCGGCGATCCCGCCTGGGCATACCATAGACCTGAAGGACTAGTGTCATCACCTAACGGACTAGCAACGTCTAGCAGCAGTTTGACTTGTGTTGTTAACCTCCTCAACGTCTCAGTGACGCTTATATAAATTTTGATCAGTAGTTCTTCAGCTTCTTCAGGCTGAAGAGCTCGTAGGTTACGAGCCAGAATAGATGATTGCTCCTGCAGGGTTAACTGGCCCCTGGCCATTTTTGACGAAGACAAAATCGATTCGTTGTCATCATCGTTTGAAGTAGGTAGAGGTCGTTGAACTAGGTTGCGAATTTCCTTTAGGACAGCCTCTCTATAAGCCGAAGCAGCACTGGTAAGGTGTTTTGCTCTATACAAGCTGGTCAAGCTCTCTAGTAACTCGAACCGAAGACCATCGATCGAGCTCATATAGGATGGGAAGACGGAAGGCTCCTGTGTATGGCCGCCTCGAGACCGTACTGAAGCACTCGTCCAACGCATGAGTACCTCCTGCGTGGAGACGGCATCAGTGTGGCGCCCGAGATCTCCCATAAGGAGACTGAGAAATCTTGTTCCACAAGCTTTACCCATTCGGAATCGTAGCGTAATTATATCGTCATTGACGCCTTGCAGTGCGGTTACAGCCCTAAGGTCTCGCAACTGGAGATCTCGTCCATCTCCGTTTAGTGTTGCCTGTGAAGAATCCGGCTCGCCAGCAGTGAGCTTCTCAAGAGAGTCGATACATTTTAAAGCCTTCTCCACTTCTCCATTGTCTACCAAAGACTCGCAGGCAACAACGCTATCGACGATATGTTTTAGTTGCTGGACTGCGTCGTGTAGCTGTTGCAGATGCTCCTGTCGTTGTCGCTTCTGGATAATATTTAACCCGCTCATTACAATCTCATTATCCAAAGCCTGGAGCTCTTTCCTGAGAGCCTTGATTCTCTGTACCGAATCAGCGGCTTCTGATTGAAGTCCTTGTAGCGAACTTAATGCAGTGAAGAATGCCGTGGAAGCCGCTGAAATAGAGGCTATAAGGTACATTTCTATCGTGTCCATATACCAGGATAGTTTTTCTTGTAGTATCGCGTTTGTTGCGAGGGCTTTCCGTGGTGCTGTTGCATTTCCTTTTGAAGCCTTTTCATTGAGCAGCCTTGGCGGTGGACGAACAACCTCTGATCTCTCGCTGACCACGTCAAATGTGCGAGGGTTTTCTAAGTGAAAGTCTGCGTCGAAATACACACGGGGTATAGTAGACAGTGGTGGCGGTGATTGAGTCGCTCGTCTTGCAGATCCTGCACTGAATTTTCGAATAGCAACAGACGTTTCCGTAGGTGACAGCGAATATACGGAGGAGACGGAGCCTGTTCTGAATGCTGAGGACCGCTTTCCCGGCTGTAGGTGGTCGTCATCAAATAATGCAGCAAACTCGCCTGGTTTAATGCTACTTTTGTGAAGGGTATCTGCTGGTTCATCTTCGCTCTCCTTCAATCTTCGCAATTGTTCATATAATGCACCGACTTGGGTTAGGTAAGGCTTGAATTCGGCTATATCAACGTGCGTAATGTTTGATAGTGCCACTGGGGGAATATCGCGTGCGGTTGGTAGTTTGTACGCGTTTAATATGGGACCTGAAGTATGCGGTAAAGGTCCCGTTCGTACTATCGGCCGTTGAAGTAATATCGATATTGCTTTTCAAGACATTAGCACGTGCTTTGAACAACGAATTAGAGAACTTCAGTATACCATTCTGCCCTGTTTCTAAGACAGCACTTGCCCAGCTACCCGATGTTGTATCCGGCAATCCTCCAGTGGAGTGGATAGAGTCTGCCATCGAGCCTGGCCTTTGGCGATAATGTGGACTTGTAGAGCTTTGTCTTGGGACGCCGTTAGTTTCTATTTCCGGTTCGAACGTTCCGGCCACAGTACCTATGGAAGGGGAAGTCCGTTCGATGTGAACTGGAGGGTATGTCTGGCGATAGACTATCCACAGACTTGGGTGCGCAGGAATCTGGGTACATCGTTGCAGATGTAGGCCGACCATAACCCTCTCTATGAAGATGTTGCGAAATAGGCTGATGGAAGCCAGCACGGGCTGTTGACCGGAGGATAGAGGAACATTCGCAGCTTCAGTCTATTGTTTAGTTCGCAATGTGTTGAGTCTCAATGGATTCGTTGGTGGAGAAGGCTGACAAGCCGGGATATCCTTGTTAGGTTCTTTGTTTGTTCTACCTCCTGATCAAGTAGACGTACCTTCCGCTCATAGCCGGAGATTAGCCAGCAGTGTGCTGATGACGTAACAATCAGGAACGTGATCCCATCCAACAACCGCTTGACTACGATACCCTACATTTTACCCCGCTGTCATTTTACCATCCAGCACTTCACGCCTTACCTTTTAGGATATTATTCACAGGAATTTAAATCGGTAAACAAGAGGAAGACAATAATATCGGGCAAGCATGATGACCAACTGGCGTGTCTGGCGACAGCCACGACATTCGCCTTCGCGATGTGGTCATCAGCATGCCGGAGGGGGAATATGGCGGTGTCGTGAAGTATGAACTTGGTAGGCACCCCTAGAATGGCTTTGAGCGGAAGGGATCCCTTTGCTCGCGGTCACTTGACGTAAGGAGTGCTGTGAGGATAATCAAGTTGAACCACTTGAGGGAAGATATTGAGATCAGTGCACTTGTCGCGGCGAGGATACAAAAGTTCAAGC